AGGAACGACAGCAGTGTCAAAAAGGTGAGCGCGGAGCCGGATGTTCTTTGTCTTCTTCACTACTCCCTCGATATTCTTAAATGCTCCATATTCTCCCCACGCGGCGCGTTTCCTTCTGCACAGCTCTGAAGCTAGGTCGTTCATCATGTTGACTTCCCGACCTAGATACACATAGCTAGAGCATTCGGAGATATTCGTTCCGTCAAACGTGAAAGGAGCATCAGGTACCAGTCCTTTTTCATGAACATCGTCTTCGTTAGGTTCAGCCTCAAGCCGATCTTTCCACAAGCACTATCAAACTCGGCCGACCGTCTACGGATCTCCTTCACTGAGGGTTCTCTCTCACTGAAGGATCCCCAGCCGGTTAAGGACAAGGCTACGTAGGGCATCCCCAGGTGGCGGATAGGGGAATTAATCGCCGACCAAAAGTAACCGGTACTTGCCCAGAGACGCAGGTGGACTCAGGGGATGGACTCCTTGATTCTGCTGTGCTGGGTCAATATACCCTCTGTTTCTCGCAGGCGATCCACGCATACGTGTGTGGAGGGTCTGTGGGTGCAATTGGTATCCTGCCCATCAACTCGGCCAAAAGCTTGCATTCGAGTGAAGAACAAGTCACACTGGGAAGTATCTGGGAGAGGCCGCCTCCAAAAACAAAGCCCCTTGTCCACTTCGGGATAGCCTAGCAAGCCCACGGAGTCAATAGTCCCCACGTCAGAGCCTGGCAAGCTGCACGTTGGGTATCTTCACGCCAAAAACAGTAATAAAATGGGCCTCATTCCCCTGAACCTGAGGGAGCCCCCAATACGGTAGCGTTGGGTAGGACCGCTCGGGAGAGGACCGTCTCGTACCCACGGTAAATTCTCTTGACCAGGAATATAAGGTATTTTGAATCATATTGCTCTCGGAGCGTTTTCCAAGGATAGCGGGAGGCGATCGAAAGCCTTATCCAGATCCAGGATCGCGCTTTACTCGATAGTTCTCAATAAGCTGGGTGGCTATGAAAATGGCACCGATTGAGACCATTATGTCATGTATGAGGAGTGCTTCTGTGAGATCGGTACGGGATCTATCAATCTTGAGGCTGCTGGTCGCTCGCATAGTTCCATGGCATGTGAGGTCAAACTGATCCCCGGTAGTTGGACTACTCCATCGCATTCCATTCTGCTTGAAAACGTTGCGAGTAGTAGTGCCACTCCAGATATCTGAGCTCCCCAATCTCATAGTCTCAAGCCTTCTGAGCGCCCTCCTTGCCTCAGTTGATAACCCACCGATTGTTTCCCCAACCATCATTTCCCCTACTGCTCGACGAATATCATCTTCTGTCCATAGTGCAATGAGGCCAGTCCTCGCATCTACCTGGTAGCTGCAGAAATCGCGGTGGGATTTCTCATTCGAGAGCCTATCGAAGTATTCTCTCGACCTACGCGTAATCTACCAGGATTCTTTCGGATTGCACCGTCGCTGTTCTTCACACATTCACTATTACGATGAATTGAGTGGCTCGATGTCGGGCATCGGCCTACCTAGAGAGATCTTTCCCCCATATTGATCGTCGAGTTTCTCGCACAAAGTGTCCAGCTTTGCAGCTATTTTATTCTTTGCCTTATCCACGAAAGCCTTTTACAGCCTTTTGCAACTTCTGCGGGCAGCTAGGTCTTCTGAATCTCGCGTTTTTTTTNTTTTTTTTCCATTACTTGTAGAAGGCTTCCTTCTGCCTGACAGCTCGTTAGACTTCATCGTTCCAGAACCGCGATTCATTGTCGCTTAAGGTCTTCTTTTTCGGCTTGGTACAGTTTCCACTAAAAAATCCTCCGTTGGTGCTTACCCTTGTTTTTTGGTAGGGTCATGTTTACTTGTACAAGAGAAGGCCGTGCAGCTGAACCGTATTGTCACCGGATAGGTATAAGATAAGTCACTCCTCGGTACTGTTCAGTGAGCGATCCCACGTTCAGTGTCCTATTTCAGACTGGCTTTTTTGGGAAAGATCGTTCACTAATCGGCAGCCCTCACAGATTGTCCACGGAAATCGAGTGGGGATTCGTTTGCCGTTCCCGGGTGGTGTCCTAGCTTTTATACTAATTACTTCAAAGGCTTTTGCACAATTTTGTGACAAGGTCACCCCATCAAGCGACTCTCAATCGGAACCTGATCCTGGTAATGACGCCATGTTTACGAAGCACGGTTTTCATCTCGGCAGAAATGAGGCTCGTGGTTTTTTCTGAGTACAGACATGGGCTAACACTTCTAACACAGATTGTTACTGCTCACTAGGCAAACAGTGTAAAATTTTAGAATATTTATTTTATTTTATTTTATTTAGTAACATGTACAGTCAGTACATGAACACAGCTTACTACAAAAATCATATAAATAATCAAGATCCAGAAGAACCAGGTAGTAAAAGACAGCTGATCAAAGCAAAAGCCAATGAAAGAGAAATAATACCTCATGAAACTTCCACTAAGGCAAGACTAAAAATGAGCCTAAATAGTGTAGCTCTCAGCCAAGTATTTTTTCAGTGCTCTTTTGAACTCCAACAAAGTTTTGGGCGGGGAGTATTTCTTAACAAATTCACGAAACTCAGAAGATGCCCGATTAACAAAGAAAATTGCTCTAACGTTGGTCCTAGACCTAGGAAAGTATGGCTTCAAATTATTCCCACGGGTATTTGATGGTTGAAGAGTGAGAGCTCCCCTTAAATCAACAACTGATCTCCCAGTGAGTATTCTTAATAGCATAACGACATCCTGCTTCTTCCTTCTTCTAAGAAGCGACTCGATTCCAAGCATCCTATTTCTTGTAGCTGCACTAGGGATGGATTTATAACAGAAACCCAAAGCCCGAATCAAGACTTTCCCTGTGAAACTATTCTGCTCAGATTCCAATCTAGCAGTATCTTTTTTAGTTCGAGGGAATACTTCCGTTCCATGTTCAAGAATCGGGCGCACATATATTTTATAAGCTCTTACAGGTATGCCAGGGTCCCTAGTATATAGGCTCCTAAATAGTTGAAAAAGCCTCCTCTCAGCTTCATTTGCTATCTTCATACAATGAGAATCGAACATCAGTTTATGATCAACAATGAAGTCCAGGTCTCTCATTTCCCTCACCTCATTGGACTGATCGCCATCCATGAAATAATTTGAACCGCGACTATTGCTACCTAAATGCAGAAGTGAAGATTTATCAAGAGCCAAGGGAAGATCCCATACTTTAGACCAGCTCACTACCGCAGCTAAAGCCTCCTGTACTCCTCTTGCATCCTCATCAACCGAGATCAACTTATAAATTTTAATATCATCAGCGAAAACTTTGCAGTTGACGCCGGCCTGCTCCACAACCTTAGGCAAGTCATAGGAGTAAACGCAAAACAATGCAGGTGAAAGGACGGCTCCCTGCGGAACACCACTGGGCGCAGCCTTTATCGACGAAAGTGATTCATTTATCCTTACTTGAAACGTCCTTCGATCAAGGAAAGAACTGATCCACTGAACAATTCTATCATGTATACCAACATGCTTAAGTTTCATCAGAAGTTTAGCATGATTAACCTTGTCAAACGCCTTACGGAAGTCGAAATAGACAACATCTACATCCTTCTTCATCCATCATCCAAGGCCTTTGTCCAGTCATTCAACACTTCAAGCATTTGAGTAGCCGTAAATCTTCCTCTCCTGAATCCATGTTGAGACTCAGGCAAGATCTTATTACTTTCCAGATGCTCAGTCAAAACCTTCTTAACAACTTTTTCAAAAACTCTGCAAAAGATGGAAGTAATACTAACCGGTCTATAGTTCCTCGCATTAGAAAAGGGAGGTTTCTTTGGAATAGGGACTACATAGGAATATTTCCACCTGTCGAGAATTTCCCCCCGGATGAAGCTCAGGTTAAAGGTAAATTGTAATGGTCCGACTATCGATGGGAGAACTTTCTTGATAAAGCAAAGCGGAATTCCATCTGGAGTTACGGAGAAACCATTTTTCCACTTGGGAAGTAGCTCAGAAATTTTGCTGACNCCTCAAACACTTTTGCGAAAAGCTCAGCCTTGTCATGATCAGAAACAGCGGTAACACCGCCTGGTTCTAATACAACTGGTACAACTCCCTTCGATTTTGCTCTAGATTTAATATACTTATAAAGGGCGAACTTGTTCCCGTGTTCAATGATTTTCCTTTCCACTGAGCTATAAAACTTATATAATTTCTTTTCAAACCTATTAGCTTCTACTCTATATGAGGACCAGTCTGCCGATTCATTTGATGACAATGCTCTCTTGTATGCCAGTGTTTTCTTATGAAAGAGTGTATGAAGGAAAGGCGGAAAGCTTAGCCCCTTGGTAGTGACCTCACGTATGGGAACGAACCTGTGGATACACACATTAAGCACAAACAGTAACATCTCATACATTTCGTTGACGGTAAGATTATTGAAGGAGCCATACCAGTCAACAGAATCTAAGTAAGAACAAATTACATTAAAATTGGCTTTTCTGAACTCCCATCTGAAAACTTTATTCCACTTCAAATTCTGTAATCTAATCGAGAATCTAATGCTTGCATGATCACTAGTCATGTCATATTTGTGTGCATCTTTTTCTTCCATTCAAAATGGTAGCAGTATTTTAGCAGCAATTTGCGGAAAGAATTCGTTGCACAGATAAGTGCTTCAATCTTATCAAACGGAGCTGTTGTCATATAACCAATCTCGAAGAGACGGAAAGTTCGGTTGGTTTGGGCGGTTGTCAGATTATATCCTGGACTGTACCTGTGAAATTGTTTCACGTGGCACCTCTTCCCCATCATTATCCATGACAATCACATTGAAACACTTATAGTCATTCCTATTGTAAGGTTGGGAGAATTAGTAATCTATAGGAGAATGATAAGAGCCACTAATGCTAAAACTAATGCTAAACAGAGAAGCTCACGTAGTGTTAATACTCTCAGCTTTCCGGCCTCATTCTTATAGGATGTTTAGATGTAGGGTTCATCGACAACGCATCACTCAGATAAGAGCGGTTTTGAGATATGTACAAAAATTACTAACATTCGTGTGGGCAACTAGGTCTTCATATTAAAAGACCTTTATTGCAGTTGTTACCGTATATGCCACACTCGGTGACGAAGCTGTGGAATATGCTCTGAAGGAAGTTGATTCGAAAATTGTTTTCACCTCCGAAAACCTTCTTCCGAAGGTGTGTTTGCTGTGAAATGAACAATTATCATTCTATTTCAAGTTGCCCAATGGCTACAGCCTTCACAGAAAATAGGCTACCATGATGAGGAGTTAAAATACTCATTTTGTCATCTTAGGTTCTGAAAGCAGTCAAAAACGGCATTGATGTAAGCAATATTATCTATTTTGCGAGTCCCGATCCGGAGAGCGAACATAAGCACAACGCCGAGAATGTGCAAATTATCTCCTTCGATGATCTGCTGAATAAGGGCAGCCGTAAGTTTTCAGTTCTGATGATTTCTCTTTTCCAAGCTCCTCAGCTAGAGGTTCTCGTTTTCGTGTTTGTGAAGGAGTGTGCGCCGTTTTAGTTTGTACTCTTTCCAAAAGCCCTATTTTCAGCTGAACCATTCACGCCAAGAAGCTCTCCGGGGGACGTAGCCGTGATCATGTACACTTCTGGAACAACCGGAAACCCGAAAGGGGTCATGATATCTCATGAAAATATAGTTGCAGCTGTTGCAGGACAGGTCCCTGTTATTCCAATTGTGTGAGTCATTGTCGAGGCCGATATTTGATTTCGACTGTTCAATAACGAACCAAAAATCTGTACGTGTTGAAATGAATTAGTGATTCGGAAGGGCAGCAGTTGCATGCTATTTTCTGGGAGACAGGAGCTTGGGTCGGGAGTCTTCTCCCCGACAGCGGCGTCGCGCACGGCGCACGCGCCGCGTATCGCAGGATTGCGGTGGAAGATTGGAGCGCAATTTGTGAGGTATGGAGTCCTTTGATTATTTGAATTTGCCGGCCGCTCTCTTCAATTCCAATGCGGTCTTGAACGTCGCTAATATAGGAGGAGTCATTCTGATTAATCAGGCCTAATAAACATAAAAACGAAAAAGAATTAGAATAAAAGATCAAATCTGATAAAAAAAGGGCAATCGACGACAAATATTGCGTCATATCGATTGGCGTTGAGGCGGGGTGAGTACGGTAATTGCAGTGACTTGCCGCGTGCCGCAAGGGAGAATGCTGCAATCGGGGAGAAGTTCCGCTACCCCAGAAACTTCAAATGTCTAGTGCGACAAATGTGATCCTTCGAATAATTAGAGGCAAGAAGCTGAGTAGAGAGTCACAGCAGTAACATACGTTTTGCAAAGGTTTGCATAGCCATCGATGTCGTAAAATATCATCCACAAAAACTCTTCCCTAAGTAGGTTTCGATACCTCTTCCTTTCTGGTGTCTTTGATCTGTTAGCCTGACTTTCCCAGCTTGCTGCCATCAGGGGGCTCGAACGATGTAGGCGGAGCGCAGTGAGCAAAACGAGAACGAGTGGAAGGCGGAATGGGCCTGAATGAAGAATGATCACTTGAAGGAATTTGTAACAATCATACACGCAGGAAAGAGCAGTGAGACAGGAAAAAAACAATGGAAAAATAAAACAAGAGGAGGAACCTATTTTATCACGTTGACGACAATGTCGGTCAAAGGTGACCGACAGTACTGTAAGTCAACCAAATGAAGAAATTCTCAGGTTTCTTTGTTTCATATTTTACCTTTACTTATTTACTCACTAACTTTAGCGTCGACCCATGATCCATCTAAATCTAAGGTTTTTATGGAAATATTAAGTATCGATTCAGGAGTCGTACATCATATCATATAACAATTAAAATTTGAACTCCTTCCAACAATTGGCTTCTTACCTCTAATCTTGTTCCCGCCAAACGTTTAAATAGCGATTTCTATGAATGTTCACGATTCAAAGCCTCATACACCGAAATGGTCTACAAATCCCATGATTTCGGAGAATTCACCCAAATCTTGACAGAATACAAGTTTTTCTTTTATTTCCAGGAGTTTTTACTTGTTTTACACATGAAAACAGCAATTTCAATAGGTGTCTCTCCCGTGGGACGATGTACGCCAATGGTAGCCGACGATTTGTCAGCGCCTTCAAACGGTCTCGTCCCGTGGGTGCGCAAACGAAAAACGCTCTCGTCGTCAACGTGTTATAGTTTGTAATCACTTCCTTTGTGAAGTCGTCACTTATGAAATTTGGCGTCCACTAGTTTTCTAGGATTCGGTCGTGATCCTGTGGTGCTCCGCCTCTACCCCTCCATGGCATTGGAAGCATACAAAGACGCGAATTCGCAAAAACTCTCAAAAACACATCCTCGTGTTCTCACAAGTAGAAGTCGAGGGGCTGGTTGTTGAACTGCTATATTCTATAAGGCATGTGCATTAATTTCCGCCACCGAATTTCAAGGGTCATTGCGGGAAAGCATGTCAGAGGTTTACCTGTGAAACTTGTCATATTCTGTAAAATAGGGTATTGGCTACCTATTTAACGGCACGGTTCACGATGAAAATGGTTACTGAGTACTTCTTTTAGGAATACTCAGCGCCCCCATGGGTGGTGGAAGGGACTCTCTCGCTCCCACAATCTCGGCGCTTAGGGCATGGTGGAAGCTGTTGCTGCCGTAATTGGCTTTCGGGCCCGTCGATCGATGTCACGTTAGACGAGACAATACAGATTGCAACTATTCGCTCTAGGACCCACACACAATCAGCTGATCGCAGTGATGAGGCGATGTTTTTCTCCCATTCTTTTTTCCTCTGTTATTCTTTTTGCTGCCGCGATCCCTTCCTTAATTTCCTATTTCTAGAGGCTGAAGAAGATGAGCTACTTTTGCTGTTACTAGGGTTTTTTTGTTTACTTATGCTTATAAGTGAATGAATTTTT